TTGTCACGGCATGCTTTGAGTAAAGGAGTTTGGACTCGTTTACTTTCCCCGGCAAAGGCGCGAGCTCGAGGACATGGTTTGTTACATCCTGAGGAGGAGCTCCCCGGTGGCTCGGATGCAGCATATCGTAGTCATCCTCTCTGGATCCAGATACTCAAGAGCGGTTGTTTCAAGCTGATCTGGCACAAGCGAAGCGAGCGCAGACGACACATCAACATCTCAGAGTTGCGATCCTTTTTGCGTGCAGAGAGGGAGGCAAAACTGCCGAACATTGCAACTCGATGCATAATAGGCGGAGACTCGCAAGTCTCCTTGGGAGCCCTGCTGAAAGGCAGAAGCTCGAGCAAGCAGCTCAACAAGGAGCTGGAGAGATCGCTTGGTTTTCATGTGGGAGGGGGAGTGCAGCCCTTCTATTTATACTTCCCTACGTCACTTAACCCAGCGGATCATCCGACTCGCGGCAGGTCTATTCCCGCGCCAGAAGAAACGGTACCTGAATGGTGGGAACCTCTCTCGATTGGAGATGTCCGAAAATTCGATCGTTGGCTTGAAAGTATTCGTTACGATCCTATGTCGTTGTCGGGCTTGCCTTCATTTGAGGAGCTGACCAAGAGTGTCCAGAGCGAGATTCAGGTGCAGGTTCAGAAGCGTTACCTTCGACAGAGCAAGCATCTTCGAGAACTCATCAACGAGAGCCACAAGCCCAAACAACCAATGCCTGTCTCAGGACCTGCGAGCCTTTTGGAGGAGCTCTACCAGACGGGCTGGCTTCAAGGACGGCTTGTGTTTCCTCGAGGCGCGGATCCACAGAACTGTTTGAGCGGGCCTGGGTACATAGAAGTATTTTCTGGTGCCGGAGGGTTTTGCAGAGAGGTTGCTCGACTTTCAGGGCGCTGGGTTCTGAGCTACGAGGGCGCAGACTCGAAGAACCATGAGCGACTCGGGAGTGAAGCACAGACTGAGATTCTCGAGCTGCTCAAGAGCGGACTGGTCTTAGGAATTGGAGCTTCGCCGCGTTGCTCGACTTTTTCGCGAGCAGTCAGCCCCTCCTGGAGGAGCAGCTCTCTGCCTTTCGGACTTCCCGGGCTAACAGAGGACCAGGAGCAGAAGGTTGCAGTTGACAATCGTTGTGCCGAGTTTCTAGCTGAAGTTTTCAACTTAGCCGAAAAAGAATTCATTCCGTGGTGGGTTGAGAATCCTATCTCTTCAATTCTGTGGTGGCTCCCAGCGTTTGTCGATTTGAACAAGAGAGATGGAGTAGGATTTTGGTGCTTGGATTTCTGCGCATTCGGAACGCGTGGCGGAGACGGACCAGGGTGTTGACCAGCACGTGCCTACGAGGCCATAAGACCCTATGCCCAGGCTGCGGGAGGCATCAAGTTCTTCGAGGGCGCTCGCAGCTGCATAGGTGTTCGTGGGCCAGCTGTGCTCAGGCTCATCCCAGAGGCCTCAGCTTGTGTCTGGCTATGGCACTCACCGGAGCTGCTGGGGATCGTCCAGAGTTCAGGACCTTCGATCCTAGCTCCTGTGCTCGGTGCGGGCATGCTCGCATTGGGGAGGCAAGCCACCCTGGACCTGCAAAGCGGGGCTTCGTTGAACGGGCAGCACTGCGCGAAGGCGTTGAACTGCGAGAAGTGGCTCTGGTTAGCAGGCGAACTGAAACCCTGGAAGAACGCTTGTGGGAAGGTTTCGTGGAGTGGCTCTTGGAAGACTGTGACAAGGCTCAAGCTGAGGAGCTGTTGATCAGCGCCTCGATGGTCGCGCCACTCCTCGAGTTGTACGGGGAGAACCTTTTCAAAATCGGGGCGTCTCTTAGTTCATTCCGCCATCTTATAGCGTTTGCACAAAAGAAGCATCATGATTTTCGACTATATGGACGTGGCTGTTGGACCATCGTCAGCAGATGGGAATCTGTTGAGCCTTTGGTGCATAGACCGCCATTGCCCGAGGCGGTATGCGCCGCCGCTGCAGCCGTTGCATTCAGTTGGGGATGGGTCCGGTTTGGTGTGCTTTTGTTAGTGGCTTTCAAAGGCATACTTCGTATCGGAGAGATTCTCAAGGCTGTAAGGCAAGACCTCGTCCTGCCGAGCGACCTCCTGACTGAAGGCACCGAAAGGTTCTACGTTCGTGTGAGCCAGCCCAAGGCTGGAAAGCGCGGCGGAGGCAAGCAGCAGCATGTCACGATCCACGATTCTGTACTCGCCTCCGTGTGCGAGAATGTCTTTCGACACGCTCGGATGGATGAAAAGCTGTATCCGTTTTCTGGGCAGACCTTCAGACGTCGTTGGAACGAGATCATGGCTGCGCTTGGAATCCCAAAGGAATTGTCGCTTACCCCCGCCTCAGTGCGAGGTGGGGGGGCGGTGGCTGCATACCGAAGTGGCACTGCAGTGCAGGACATTCTGTGGAGAATGAGGATCCAACATCTTCATACACTTCAACATTATCTGCAAGAACTCGCAGCTGAGAATGTCATCTCAGCTCTGAAATCCAAGGCTCGCTTTTCAGTGAAGGCAGGGGCACTTCTACTCCCTCATTACCTTGAATCTCTTCGCTGCCGAGGACCTGTCTATGGGCCTTAGGTGTACTGCACCTACTCGTTCCTCGTAGTGGCCAGTCTGTCAAGCGATGGTTGGACTACTTCGTTGTCGCTGCGGTGACCTGGAATTCTACTTCGTCGTGCTCTTCGGCTACAAGCTGGTGCGGCGAGCTCCTCTACTACGACTTCGGAGGCTTTGCAGCTACGTTTCTTCTGCACCTTTTACCTCGAGAAGTCTTTGAATGGAGCTGTAGGTCCAGAGCATCGAAGCTCAAAGGAGCTTAGCAAACCTTGACAGTGGCGCGCAGTGAAAACAGCGACGCAGGGACCCAGAAGTGAGTGTGTCTGAGCATGA